ATAAAGATGTTGAACCTAGTTTATAATATTCCAGACAATTATCTAGATAGCAGCACATATAACTGTCAGTTATAATTATAAATATAACGTTACTTTCACACTTCTCAAGTTATAAACGAGATGACATATTTAATGCACCAATAACATACACGAACAATGATACGAATAGTAAGTACAATCGCCTTGAAAGTTGTAAAAAAAATGTTTACAAAATCTTTATATTGTAGAAAACCAGCAGCAGAGGTTCAAATTTTGAAACCCCAAGCAACTGCGGCAATAAAGGTATTTCTGTGAATTTTGGCATCTTCGAGGCTCATGAGAATACAGTGTTATTCATTTCGAATATTTTACATTTTAATGTATGATTGTATACTTTATTTCCCAGCATTTGCATCCTTGTTAACAAAATGGGCCACCTGTCGATTTGGGTCCTTACGCAGATGCGTAGTCTCTATCTATGCGCTACTGACACAACGTTTATTTCAAAGGATTTTCTGTTAATTGTTACCTTACGCAACGACCTGTAGCAAGAGCCACAACAATTTTTTTCGCGCCCGTGTCAGTGCATTAGATAATTAGTTTCTGGCGAGTTGTGTAGTGTGAGTGGCACAGTTACGTTCACTACGCCATGCGGCATTGGCACTTGTTACCAAGGTTAACTCTACTAGCTACGGCTTTGCCTGTAGCTAGTAGAGTTGTGCTAATTTCTTGACTGAAAGGCCAAGAATTTAGCACCACTGAATAGACATTTCAATAGTATAAATCATTCTTCTGCACAACTCCGCGTGGTAGAATAGAGTTAGATTATATTTTCTTCTGTGATGATCCTGCAACTGCAATTATTAACTATATAAAACGTATTGTCACTATCGCCAATAAAATTCTATACGAATTTATCACGTATAATAATAATATTGTTTATAAATATTTCATTATGTATATCCATGTAGTAGCGTTTTTAAATTTTAATAAATGGAAATGTCAAGTCATGTGTTAATTTTAAAATTTCTTTAAAAATTTATTTATGTGGAACACAATATAGTGTAAATTGACAAATTAAATAAAATCAGCTATTCCTGTTAACTACGATTCTTTTATTTCTTTTTGAAATAAAATATATTTACAACCAAGCATTCCCATTGAATTCAACGCTTTGCTTAACAGTGGCAAGATTAAGATATGGTGATTCCCATATAATTGAACCATAGAAAAATCTGGAGAATTTGCATTTATATTTAAATTTCTCAAGACTTTGTAACGCATTCGTAATATCTTCGCATGAATATAAAATATATACGTAAAATAAGTAAATTATATTATAAACATTTAGATTGAAATAGAGTGCTTACAGAAAGTAACTTAATTATGAAAGAAAACGATAGATTTTGGCTGTTAGTTTGCATAATGGAATACTTGTCACTTACATATCGTTATGTAGTGTAATATCGATGACATAATTACAGAGATTTGTACAGTAAACATTATTTACATTAAATAGTAGCTATAGTAATAACATTGAGGTAAATAAGACTTATTATTGCGTGATATATTTGCTGACAAAGTTCTTTTAAAAATACAACCCGCAGACAATGTTGGTTAAGTCGTGTTTTCATTATTTTCATAGGTGTCTGTGCATTATAAATTTTTACTGGAGAATAGCGTTGAGGTGAATGCTAGTTATCACGTTACGGGGCATCTTGAAAGTACAGTAGATTGGTTCAGCTAATTTTTCCAAGAAATGTTCGTAGACGTCTCGAAAACATTGTGACGGCTCGTCCAGTTGCTGGTTCTATTCTAGTTGCTTGAGTCGTGCTACCCTTTCTAAAAGAAAATATAAATTACCACGTTTAAATTTCGTATCGAACTACCCATCTGTTACTCTTTTAACCAAGAATAAAAAAACGCGCCAACATTTATAATTAACGTAGTTTATTATATTGTACGTATATACTTTTATTCAGTCGACCCCCCTATAACACTGTTGATAATTCCGTTTTACATAGATTAGATGTTGTACGAGTCACTTAGATTTTACAAATACGTGAGCCATTTACAGCCTGGAACACGTATTTGTAAAATATAAGTGACTCGTACAACATGGAATTCATATAAAACGGAATTATCAACAGTGTTCTAGGGGGTCGACTGTAAATGCATCGTCCACTAGCTTGAAAGCAGTTTATTGGCAAGAGATGAATAACTAAAATGTATTTAAGAAAATCTATCACTGAAGTCTATGACACAAATAAAATTATAGGCTACATGTTTTCATATTAGACCTGTACATTTCCATGCTTAACGTAGGGAGATAAGCCCGATAGGAATAAGCGTCGTGAATATGCAAAGTCACAAAGTAATTTTTCAATGTTACAAACGATGAAGGATGAATTAATCCGGATTTTAAGTAAGAACAGTACGTATGCTAATATTCAATACAATTAGAGGATCAATACATAAACATCCAGTGGAATGAATGAACTCCCAAAAACTTGTAACTATAAAATAAAATCAACGAATGATTCTGTTCGAATGGTCTTCTGTATTTTGATCTCAACGTTGCTATAAACATTATTATGGCAACGCGAATGAAAGTTTTAATTTGTTTCGCTCATTACGGGTATTGTTCCATCGCAAAAGATTTCAAAGTTTGTACTCAGTGGCGCCCGCAAGATATGCAAATGCAACGCACTGACTATAAAAAAAGAACACCGTATATTACGCAAAAAGTTTCAAACTCTGTCTACGACGTCAAATCTCTACTATAATTTAATGTCGGATTAGCGTTCCTACAAGGTGGTAATGATTGCAGTCGGGCTAGTTTGGCTTCGAAAACAAGGAATGAGTATTCGATCAACATATGACAAAGTTACATAGGTCAATAGACAATTATCGTTCATTAGTTTCCTTTATATATGAATAATAGGCTAGAAGTGAGAAATTTTATATTGTTTGGGGCTCTCTTCAAAATTAGGAAAGGGGTAACAGAGACGAAGACGGGAACGTTCCCCAATGTACGGAAGTCTATGGTTTCGCTACTGTATAGTTTGAAATGTAATTTGACTGAAGATACGTTTCAAAATGGAAACTTTGGTGTGTCAGTGACCGAGTGGATAAAACCGTCAAATATTAGTAACGGATAAAAGGTTCGCGCCTCATCAAAGGGGGTGTAGCTGATAAAGTTTACCGAGTTTTCTTCACGTGTCTAATATCAAAATTGTGGCCGATTTTTTTTAGTCCACTCTGGTGCCGCCTTACATTTGGTAGATCGCTCATGTGTTGCAATTCCTTCTTGCAAATTACTGTATATTTAAGAGTGTGAAAATCCAGACTTCAACATAAACAATTCAACGTGGTGACAATAAAATTTTGTCAGATAACTATCACCTTTCAAACCTGGGAGTAAATCGTTTGTTAAGTTATCAGCATCGATAAAGACGATATCACGAGACTTTCCAACCTACTGTCCAGATTTCATCATTTTAAAATGGTACCAAACGGATAGTCTAGTTCTCCCCTTACGTGTCAACGAGTCACGGTGGTGTCAGTCCAAAAGAGGCACTAAAGAGATGCCGTCCCTCCGGTCACAAGAGCTTTCTACGTAAAACTTTATTCTTTAAACTTTAATCTTGACAAGCTGAAGAGTCAATTGAATAATTACAAAAGAGTTTATAAAACATTAAAATGAATTTATTACAGAAAAATATATTTAATGTCTGCCAATAAAATGAATATGCTTGGACTGAGTTTACGATCATGCGGATATATGCAATGTCGAATACAATAAAAATCTCGACATGTGGTTCAAAATCGTATCTACAGTAATTATTTATACACGTTTAGTAGAAATATTTTATTACCCTTAATATATAAATTGAGTTTTGGTAATAAAATAAACATTTAACTGTTTTAGGCATAAAGTACTTAATCGAAGAAAGTTTCAAATAATAAAATGATACATCTGAATTTTGTGTCGTCACACAAGTACACTTATTAAAAAACGGATTAATTAATTTTTAATAATATTTCATGTAAAAGAAGTTGAATGGAAAAAATATTTAGTAACTGATTTAAATAATGCAGCAACTGTAAACATGAAAAATTTTTAAATTTGTTTTTTTCTTATAGGCATTAAGAAAACCTTCTCAGCATGCCCATATTGTGCAGAAGCGATAAAGTGTGAATAGAGATGGACGGACACGACATATTCGAATGGACCAACCCTTAAAAAACGGGAAGTTTTTCAATCACTCCTGATTCAATTCTGGATCTTCATAGCAATAGACTGTCGCCTTAAACGCTCGGTAATCCGAATCGCAGAAAAGTGATGAAGTAACAGTTTCAAATTCTTTATTTTGAAATTGACAACAGAGGTATATTGAGTTTTATATTCTAATATTAAATTAGAAATATCGTTACACTAATAAATGCAAAACTACCTTATCAAGCTATGATAAAACTAATTTTAATATCGAATTATAAAGTAATTTGTCTAGAAGTATGTGATTAAGCCGACATCTCTTAATAAATTTAATATAATAAATTAATTAATTTTTAATTTAGAAAGTTCTGAGAATTAATGATTCGGTTCGGAGCGAAACACTAACCCGCAATACTGTGACATATGTAACACTAAACCAATATAATTTAAAATAAATTAACTCACTTCTTTCTAATATCTAGTCGAACGGAATTAATGTAATGAGTAAGTATAGAGTATTTGAAATTATTTCTTATGATTCCATCCCCGGAAAAAAAATAAAATGATGTTACACTAACCATTCAATAGTTAGCGAGTTTCCTATAAATGCTTTGACAATAAAATACAATTGTGAATACAATCAATCATACTTACAAACCAAGTTTATAAAATTTTATTAATGCTCATAAAACGTCGTGAATTATACCGAATATATATGGAAATTGACCAATAAGGGACGAGAGCACTGTATTGATTCGGTATAAATATGAAGAAAATCGAGAGAATTTCAATTCAAATTGTTCACCTTTAGTCGAAATTTCAATTGAAGACAAGAATGAAACTTCTGATCTTGATCTTCGCTTCTCTGATGATAATAGGTGAGAATTCTTTACATATTACTTTTAAACGTTGATTTCATAATTGAAAATTAGTCAGTGAATCACCCCTTCTTCAATAATTGATGCAACTTTAGACAGACATTAAGAGTTATAGGAATATTTTATTTTATACTAAGAGGTTAGTGATTGATAGTATAACAAATCTGATTAAATAAGATGTAAAATCTCTTAATATATAGACATAATACAATTCAAGATTATAGAAAAATGCTGTGAGAATAAAAATTAGCTTGAAATTCTGAACGAAAAAGGAAGAGGGGTGACAGGTATACCTCTCTTCCTATTTCGTTCCCATTATTAAAAGTGATAAAGAATTAACGTATAATAATACGAAATTAACGTGCTTTTTCAAAAAAATTTTATATGAATGATTTGAAATAAGAAATAATTAATATTTTTTCTTTTAAACAGGAGTCCAGAGTAAGGATGGATATCCGATGTATGATGACGGATGTAAAATCCCTTGCGTAATCAATAATAGAGCTTGTGAAATACAATGCGTTACATTGCGGAAAGGAAAGTCGGGTTACTGCTACTTTTGGAAATTGGCTTGTTATTGCGAGGGACTTCCGGAATGGGCAAAAGTTTGGGATAGAGCAACCAATAAATGCAGAGCTTAAAATGATGTCGTAATTCTTTTTCTGAATGATGCAACTGTAGTCTTATAAAATAAAATTACATATAACTGTAGGTATTAAATTCATCTGTACACTTTCTTTTTCAATCGCGGAAAATAAATTTTAATTTAAACATTAGAGAACATCTCACTCACTGTGTTAGTTTTAATAAATAAAACTTTGACTCTGATAACATTCAAATAATAATTTCTTAAAATTCTTTAATACTAGGTTATAGATACATGCACACAGATTCCAATAAAGTGTGTTTGGGGGTGGAGTAATCCTTTACTTGACGATTTTTATTAGATATAAATAATTATATTCGGATTACTATATGTATTTTGCTTTATTATATGCTTGATAGCAACGTAAGAACACGGAAGATCTGCAAAGGGAATGCTCCTCGAAAGGATTTTATGTAGAAAAGTGATCCGTATTTAAATAATAGACAGGTTAAAAATCCGTAAAAATGTACTATATCCCATTGGTTAGGCGCGAACCCACGACCATCTGATATTATGCAATGGTTTTATTTGCTCGGCCGCTGGTGAAATTTCGGAAGATTAGAATGCGCATTGCATCATTTCAGCCATTCATGATTAAATTTGAATCAATTCTTATATATTGAACATTATTTTAATTTGTGACAAAAGAGTCGGCACCTCTTTGATGCCTCATCGGGGCTGACACAGAAGCAACGACGGCAAGGTCTGTTTTAAAACTGGAGGGGATGGATACTGTGAGACAATGGGTTTGAAGTGACTCACTCGGATTCAAGTTAAACTAACAAATAACCGTTTATTTGAAAATAAAGGATACGATACATATTATATTGGAACAACTATAGAGATACGAACGCAAGAGAGAGAGAGAGTTTAGATTTGAGCGATTTACGATGTTAAATTGTTTATGTTTGTGTCCGGATCTCACAAATTATACAGTAGTCTTAGTTTTATTGTGATTTCTATATGCTATCTGCCACATGAAGGGGAAGATTGCTCGAGTCGTGCCCCATAAGAAAAATCAAATGTATAATGTAGGATCTGTTGAATAAACAAGCATTATTTGTTTCATTCAAAATATTTTTAAACATTGTTGTTATGATAAAGTTCGTAATAACTGTAGCTTTTATATGAAATTAACAAAACTAATTAAACTGAAATCAATAAAGATAAGTTTTGTAGGATATAGAAAGGGTATCATTGAAACTAAGAATTTAAATTAAAGCAAAGTTGTAGAATTCATACAAATTTCAAGAGATTCAAATAGATACCAGCGACAGGATTAATGAGTCTTTTGATTTTATGAGGGAAGGTGGCGTAGATACGTTGTTGTGAGATACAGGAAATGACAAGAGTCAGGAAGAAGAAATGCGTCAACTAAGACTAAAAACATAATTTTTAGAATAATCATTAGTGTTTAAAAAGGGTAAGATTGCAGATGTGAATGACGCTGTAGATTATAACAGAGCTGTAGGCTCTGCACATAGGAGAAAAAGATCGTAGAAACGATACCACTATATGTAACCCTTCGCGAGATATAAGAGAGGTTGCGGCCGACGTTTTCTTCGCGAAAACGTGTACGTCGGACGTTCAGCGACGCCTTCCTGTAAGCCTAGGTGTTTGACAATGACGTTTGAAACGTCAGTGGAATCATGATCGACGTTCCAAACGCCATTGTCAAACTTCTAGGCCTACAAGAAGGTGGCGCTGAATGTCCGACGTAAACGTTTTCGCGTTGAAAACGTCGGCCGCAACCTCTCTATAGTCAACCGAGAAAAGCATACTACAAATAAACTTTAAATTAACCAATATCGAAAGTGATGTTGCTCAACCCTGTAAGCCTGTAATTAGAAAAAGTATTTATTAAAAAATTAAGATCAGGTAACCCCCGTATAACACAGGAGTTACGTTCCAAAAAATTGCCGTGTTATGCGAATCCGTGTTATACAAAAGAAAAAAACTAGTGCAAAAAGAGGGGTTAGGTTCCAAAAATTAAAAAAACACGCTGTTAAATCCATATTTAAATCGGATTTATTATTTATTTCTTTCATGGGTAAAATACTTATTTATTATTTAAGTAAATATTTTACCAGAGGATTATTCATACTATATGATGATCTCAGCATGAGCCTCATCANAAAAAAAAGAACTAGTGCAAAAAGAGGGGTTAGGTTCCAAAAATTAAAAAAACACGCTGTTAAATCCATATTTAAATCGGATTTATTATTTATTTCTTTCATGGGTAAAATACTTATTTATTATTTAAGTAAATATTTTACCAGAGGATTATTCATCCTATATGATGATCTCAGCATGAGCCTCATCAACTGGTATAGTTTGTGGGTGCGTTCGTTAATAGCTGTCGCACTGCAACGGGCGTGCGCCGCTGTTTGTAAGCATTTAGGAACGACGGTGAAAGAAAGATGACGGCGCTCGCACTATCGATAGTATCGTGATGGAGGAATCTATAATTCTAAAATGAGCTTTTAGACAAAAAGAAGGGTTCCAATTATAAAATTTAACCATTAAATGGATTATTTGTTGAAAGAGCATTCAAAGTAGCCACGAAAACAATTAGAATTATCGTGCGGAGTTACGCGGAGGTATAAAAGAACGCACCCTTTATTACATTTCATGTTGTACAAGGGTTTTACCCAATTCCCGAACCGTGATAGAGTGAACCCGTGCTATAAAAGTACCGTGTTATACGAGGATGTTCCCAATTTTCGAACCCTGTTAGAGTAAATCCGTGCTATAAAAGTACCGTGTTACACGGGGGTTACCTGTAATTATATTTTCAAACTAGCTTTTTGTTTTTTTAATATTTAAAATAGGATTATTTAATCGACTCTTTATGAAATCATAGCCGTTCTTCTGAAGAAGAGTGTATAATTTCTGGTTTTTCCAAGTATGGGCCCAAAGGTTCCATATTTGGAAAACATTTGGCCAAGACTAGAACTAGCATTTCTGATTTCCTTTAAGAAAGGTTTCGTTTTTTTCCTTGGAGTTGGTAGCAAACTCGTTAAAAGGGGATCTGAACTAAATAAATTTAATACAGCAAATGTTCCTTGTAACGAGTCACAAATTTTTTCAATAAATATTTTTTCTGTATTGTGTGCTTCTGTATTGTGGTCATGTTCGTTTCAATTTGGATTTAACACATGAAAATGTGTGTTTTACTACGTTTATTATTCTTTTAAAAAGTTGTCATAAATTTTTAAAAAATTTGGACAAACCCATTTTTTTTTTCAAACTAGGTAAGTTTTCTTGTAGCATCCGGTTAACTAATCGTTAGTTAGTTAACCGGATTCTGACACCTGATGTTCTTAAAACCTAAAATTCAAACTCAACGTTCGAAAATTCACACTTTTGTATTCTATACATACATACATACATACATGAAAGACATCGGCCGTACACGAAGTGTTTAGCCGGCAGAAAAGAGGGTAAGAAAAAAGGGAGGAGAAGAAGGAGGGAGAGGAGATAGACAGTAGAGAAAGATACGATCCTTCTGAACGACGTAGATGTGGCTACAGTACGTTGATGTTGGCGTGCAGTTTTTAGGCTACAAGGCCGTAGTTCCCCGAGGGGTCTAAAAGAAAACACGAAGTACAGCGAACACCAATTATTGAGTGTCGCCACGAATAGCTAATTGTAGAAGTTAGTGCCAAGTGGCTGTTAGTAGGAAGACTTATAACTACTTAATACTAATGAAACTAAACGTGAGCTCAAATCTTAATACTAATAACTGAAAAAACAAACGAATACAACGAAAAACTAGACGAGACGAACGGACAAACAAAAGACAAACAAGCAAGACCCCCTGTTTTATTTATTTTTATTTTATTTTATTTTTTAAACATTTTATTTATTAATTTATTTATATTTTTTTGTATTTTATACGGCATTTTCATGTTAAGAGTTTTTAAATTGCGATATTTCGCTTTAAATTTGGTTTAAAACCCATATGACCCACTGTAACGCTATGGAAATTATTCTAAAAAAGTTAAAAAACTGTCACTAAAAATAAAATTTACTTCATTCGTTGGAATAAAAATTTCTCGGCAGATTGTAAACATATAATAGAATATATATCCGTTAAAATTTGCATACTAGCATGTCAAATTTCTTCGCAAGAATAATTTGAAACAGCAGTACATTAGCCTCTTGTAAGTGATAGGCAATTATTAAATACAGTAGAGCGTCGTTTATCCGAAGGTCGGTTATCCGAAAGCATTCCAGTCGGCAAATTTAAATTTTCGCCAGTGCTGTGGCGCTGCAATCATTGACTGTGTCTTGGGCTACTCAAATATTTTACGTTTTTGATACTAAATTAACATCTGAAGTATAATTTTTTATTGTTTTTATATTTTTCAATATATTTATTTTGTTTGTACAAAATAAAAAAATAATTTTTAACGATACAATAGTCTTTGTTAGGCTTAACATCGACGAAAATTAAACGCAAAGTGACACGCAACGGAGAAAAATTTCAACACGGGATAAATTAATATATTTTTTCGTACATAATCGGTTATCCGAAAAATAAGTTATCCGAACAACCCCAGTTACCAATTGATTCGGATAAAAGACGATCTACTGTATTACAAATCACAAAAATTCACGACGTTCTGCGGCTGATTTTTGTGATATTGTTTGATGTAAACCTTTAACTTTGTACTAAAACAAACATTAATATCGGGAAGCACCTGGAACTACAAATGTTTTCGAGAATGTAAAAATACGCTAAAAAAGAACAGAAAAAAAAAAACACTTTTTCAAGCTGCTATATCTTATTCAAAATTAAAGTACTCATAACAACAATATTTAAAACTTTTGCTTACCTATCCGCTTTATCACCGTCCATAATTATTTAATTTCAACTACATTGAAAACAAAAGATATCTATTGTCGAAAGAATGTTTATGAAAGAATACGTGCGAAGATAAAACATGCAAAGAACGAAATGAACAACTTTTGACTTATTTTAACGGGTCATGGCTGAGCAAACACGAAAAAAAACGAGTGTCCTATTATTCTCTGACTATTCAATTTTGTCAGAATATACATACAGTATTTTTTCTTCATGTATGATTTACAACGTCGACTTTTGACCATCTAGATAAGTGAAATACCGCAGTGTACGACGGCCAGATAATCTAACATTATTTAACAGAAAATAGTAAGAAAAGAGTCCAAAATGCCACCCATTGCGAGATATTCGCCTCCAAATGTGGAATTCCAATGGCGGCAGTTCCGATCGCCATCTTGCTTGCAGATGTCATGTTTGAAAGCAAGTTATGCTGTCAACGAGCGACCAGTGTCTAAAATGTAGGTAATATATGCATTTACTTCTACTGACAGTAAATAGTTTTTACTTTGAACCAGTACCACTGCATACTTTCCATGCTCTGTGCTGTTAGTCGGCTGATTTCTGGGGCTATATCTAGCTAAGGGGTCACGCCACACTTTGAGTTATGATCCCTTTGACGTTTTTGCATCTATGAGCATGGTCTATGGCACTGTCATTGACATCTGCAATTGAGCCATTGAAAGTAATTTCAAAAACTTTGAAATTTATATAAACGTTATGTTTAAAAATAAAATTTGTATTCAAATGACGAAGAAATGTTACCTTCGAAAGCCATTTCATAAATGAGATTTGAAAAGAAGTTAAACATTAAGAAATAATCTGAAAGTTGGTGAGGCTTTCATTATCGATAAATTTGTCCATAAGATTGAAAGTTGAAAATATAAAAATGAAATAAATGTACTTTCAAATGACAAGTTGTTGTGAGGTCTTGGACAGGTCTGAACCTTCACTAAAATAAGCAATAAAATTATTATTTTGTTAAAGAGAGAGGAAAAATAGAAGTGAAAAATAACTGTGCTTTAAAATCGTCATAAACAATAGGAGAAATGTGAGTTTTCTGGTTGGAAGATCAGATTCTCTTTAAGTTTGGCATCTCCCGCGATCCAAGTTGAAACCTGTTACATTAGTAACAGGCAAGCGACCACTTGAAAATGTGGATAAGGAAGACGAACCAATCAAAATGAGAGATCGAAAGCGAAACATTAGTTAATCCAGATCATCAAGGACACCACACGATCTCTCTCTCCGTAAACATGGACACGCTATCTCTCCTTATAAGTCAATATGCTCAACCTGTATAAAAACATGCAGCAAATTGAACAACGATGTTGCTGGCTCCTTCGTGTGGTCATTCTTCTTCTTCCTGTTTCGTCTTCTCCGCCCATTATCGCTACCTTCTTTTAAAGCTTTCCTGAAGTCAACCAGATAAGATAACAACAAGTCACCACTGCCCTGGTACTGCCGATTTGTAACATCAGACTAAAATCCTAGAATAAGAGAACTTTGAGACATCCTCATGTTCATTGGATTTTTGATACCTGATGTAAGAAACTTTTAATTAATAAACTGTTTTGTATTGGCACTTAGTGTTCTCTGCTTCCTACATCCCCACCCACATACGCGTGACTTAGGGCCACACGCGTGTGTATGTGTAGTATGTAGCCCTAAGTCATCCCTGAATGAAATTTAATAATGTTATTTAGTAAATTTAAAAAGTTAAAGTAAAAATAAGCAAATAAATAATTCTATTGTTGATGATCCGGCAAATAAATTAATTGCCATTGTATAAGTGTGTACAGTAATTAAGTAAACATGTCTAACATCTAAATAGTGATCGATTTCTCTTAGTGTTTCCGGATGTCCTCTTACTCTTTGTAGATCGCTGCAAATTACATTTAGGAGCCTTCTACTCGAAACTTTGCGCCCATCACACTTTACTTTCCTCTGAACAATCTTGACAAGCTGAAGAGTCAATTGAATAATTACAAAACAGTTTATAAAACATTAAAATGAATTTATTACAGAAAAATATATTTAATGTCTGCCAATAAAATGAATATGCATCGACTGAGTTTACGATCATGCGGTTATACGCAATGTCGAATACAATAAAAATCCCAACATGTGGTTGAAAATCGTATCTACAGTAATTATTTATACACGTTTAGCAGAAATATTTTATTACCCTTAATATATAAATAAGTTTTTAGTAATAAAATAAATATTTAACTGTTTTATGCGTAAAGTATTTAATCGAAGAAAGTTTCAAATAATAAAATGATATATATGAATATTGTGTTGTCACAAAAGTACACTTATTAAAAACGGATTAATTAATTTTTAATAATATTTCATGTAAAGGAAGTTGAATGAAAAAAGTAAATGCAATGACAATAACAGACAAGTGTTGTGAATACAATGAATAATAATATTCGTTGTTTCTGAATTTAAAGTAAACAATTGTTTCCTTGCTGAAATAGATATTAATTGCACAAACATACCAGGAAGTTCTTAATATTTAACTATTGCTCATAAAACATCTGGAATTACACGGAACATATGTGAGAATTGACCAATGAAAGAAGACAGCACTGTGTTGAATCGGTATAAATATGAACAAAATCGAGAGAATTTCAATTCACACTGCTCATCTTTTAGTCCAGATTTCAAGAAAGAACTGAAAACAAAAATGAAACTTTTGATCTTGATCGTCGCTTCTGTGATGATAATAGGTGAGAATTTTTTACATAATACTTTTGCACTTTGATTTTGTAATTGAAAATTAATCAGTGAATCACCCCTCATTGAATGTTTGATTCAAGTTTAGACAGACTTTAAGAGTTATAAGAATATTTGATTTTATACTAAGAGGGGAGTGATTGATAGTATAACAAATTTGATTAAATAAGATGTAAAATTTCTTAATATGTAAACATAATAAAATTCGAAATTATAGAAAAATGCTGAGAGAATAATAATTAGCATTAAATTCTGAACGAAAGAGGAAGAGGGGTGACAGGTACACCATAACTAAAATTGACATGCAATCCACGAATAATTAAACAAAATAAGCGTTGTTTTTCACAAAATTTTTATATGAATGATCTAAAATAAGAAATAATTCATATTTGTTTTTTTACACAGGAATCCAGGCTAAGGATGGATATCCGTTGGGAAGGGAGCAATGTACAATCCCTTGTTTATTCGATAATGACTTTTGTAATAGAAAGTGCGTTGAACAGAAAGGAAAGTCGGGTTACTGCTATTTTTGGAAACAGTCATGCTATTGCGAGGGACTTCCCGACGACAAAGTTTTTGATCCAGCAACTAGTAAATGTAAAGGTTAAAGTGATGTCACAATTGTTTTTCAGTTTGATGCAATTGTAGTCTTATAAAATAAAATTACATATTTCTGCAAATATTAAATTCAATTGTACATTTACTTATTCAATCGTGGAAAATTAACTTCAATATAATTACTAAGAAACATATTTAATTAATAAAACTTTGACTTTGATAGCATTCAAATGGTAATTCCTTAAAATTTTTTAATACTTGTTAGTAAGTAAAAATAACTAAGTTATACGCACACAGATTCTAGTAAAGTGTGTTTGGAAATGCGACTACTCATTTACTTGACGACTTTTATTGGATATAAATAATTATATTCGGATGACTATGTTATATGTTTGATCGGATATAGGAACGTAATACACGTAAAATCTGCCTTATCTGAAATAATTCTCTATGGATAAGTGAGCTGTATTTAAGTAATACAGGTTAAAAAATCCGTAAAAATTCAATATAACCCATTGCTTAGACGCGAACCGAGGACCAACTGCCATTATGCAATGGTTTTAGTTGCTCGGTCACTGGTGGACTTTCGGAAGGGCAAATCCCGCATTGTATCATTTCGGTTATTTATGAGTATCGTTAAATGAATTTTTATTTATTGAACATTATTTTAATTTTATGGTAGTCATAGTTTTATTGTGGTTTCTATATGCTAGCTACTATATGAAGGGGAAGATTACTCAAGTCTTGTCTTATGAGAAAAAACAAGTATACATTGTTGGATGTATTGAATAAACAATAATTATTTGTTTTATTCAAAACTATTGTGAACATTGTTGATACTTATTATGATAAAGTTCGAAACATCTCTTACTTTTTATATGAAATTAACAAAAATAATTAAACTAAAATCTGTACGACTAAGGAAACCAGTTACCTAAGAGATAACGCCTATAGGTTAAGACGTACCTAAGAATAAAATTAAACAGAACAACATAAGCCAATATTTCGTAAGTAATGTATTTTAAATACAAATATTTTTATTACGTCGCTGTCGCATATTCTATTATTACAAACATCACAAACGTTTTTCTATATTTTTTTCTCAATTCCAGCACATAGGTCATTCACTTATTTCTTACGTTTTAAGCACTGAATCTTTTCACATGATTGTCTGCACAAAGATTATTAAACCAATGGCTTTTCCTTTTTTTTGGCTTTATTCGTAAATGAAATTTTTATTGTTTGTATCTTTCAACTGCTCATTTTCTTTTATTTTTTTTCCCTTGCCATCGAGGTTGTCTCTGGATTGCGTAAATAAAAGAAAAGACTATTTTTCATAAATTTTTATTGTCATTTCTTCCCTGCAATTCTGTTTTCTGTATTAAAACGATCATATGACGAACATATCAAACTCAGTTCTTTATAACTTGCCATCCTATAATTATTTTCGAAGTCATTCTAGGCACAAAAAAATTCGAGCCAGAAAGAATTTAAATTACCTGTACTTTTATTAACAATTCAACCGCATTTAGTAAAATTGTTAATATATAGTAACGTGCTCACCAAAGCGAACACGTGGAATTTGTGAAACTGATACAAGTAAATGCATTATCCACTAGCGCGAAAGCAGTTTATTGGCAAGAGATGAACAACCAAAATGTATTTAAGAAAATCCATTACCCGAATCGGATCATACATGTTTTTATATTGGAGCTGTAGATTTTGGTGCTTAACGTACGAAGATTTGCCCGATACGAATAAGCGTTATGAATAAGTAAAGTCACAAAGTAATTTTTCAACGTTAGAAACGGTGAAGGATGAATTTATCCGAACTTCAAGTAACAACAGTACGTATGCACATACTATAAGCGGATGAATATATAAACATCTAGTGAAATGAATGAACTCCCAAAAACTTGTGACTATAAAATAAAATCAACAAATGATTCTGTTCGAATGGTTTTCTGTGTTTTGAACTCTGAGTTTTTAGAGGCATTATTACAGAGACTCGAATGAAAGTTTTAATCTGTTTCGCTCATTACGGGCATTGTTCCATCGCACAGAATTTCAAAATTTCTACTCAGTGACGCCCTCAAGATATGTAAATGAAACGTACTGGCTATAAATAAGGGCACCGTATATTACGCAAAAATCTTCAAACTGTATCTATGACGTAAAATCGCTAGTATAATCTAACGTCGACTCAGCTTACCCACAATGTGGCAATGGTTGCATTCGAGCTACCATGGCTTCGAAACCAATAAATGGGTATTTGATCAACATATGACAAACTTACACTTGTCAATAGACAAGTATCTTTTATTAGTTTTCTTTTATATATGAATAATACTTTCCTTCATAATATTGATAAATTAATTTAATAAGAAATGAAAATAAATAATAGAATACATATTGCCGTCCTAATGACCAAATATCCATAAGAGTAAATAACTTTCAAATACGAAAACAGTTCATACACTGTAATGTAATTATTGTAACACAGAGACCCAATGTGTCGTATACGACACGTTGAAAAGTTTGCTCATCTCATAAAATATTGTTATTAATATAGTTTTTAAAAAATACTCTTATATAATCTTAGAAGTCTCCTGAACAAAATCATGCATAAATTGTAAAATTATAATTAATAGAAATAGAGAAAACTGAATACTGATATCAAGCAGTCATACTTATGATCACTTTCAAAAAACACATGCCCAGACAATCACTTATGTTTTTCTTTGTTTCTGTCACAGTGGGATGCATGTGGTCTAATAAGCTTCACTAAACTCTAGTGACAAAATGTATGTCTAACATAATTGTAGNGAATACTGATATCAAGCAGTCATACTTATGATCACTTTCAAAAAACACATGCCCAGACAATCACTTATGTTTTTCTTTGTTTCTGTCACAGTGGGATGCATGTGGTCTAATAAGCTTCACTAAACTCTAGTGACAAAATGTATGTCTAACATAATTGTTTAGCAAGCAAAACAGAAGAATTGCTTTTCATTATTTGGAAGGAAAATTGCGTGTACATGGGTCAATAGACAAGTATCGTTTATTAGTTTCTTTTTATATATGAATAATAGTTTCCTTTATAAAAATAATAGTAACGAATTTAAGGTTTTTTGGGGCCCTCTTCAAAACTAGAAAAAGGGTTATGTTTGAGTTATGGCAACGCAACACTTGGGCGATCTGTCTATGACGGGATGCCTTCCGGGAAGTCTTTTTAAGGGAAACTGGCCCCTATTTAGGAGTTACAAATGTGGAAATAATCCGGAAAACTCCANTGTCCAAACTTAGGAAAGGGGTAACCGAGACGAAGAAGGAAACGTTCCCCAAAGTACGGAAATCTATGGGTTCGCTATTGTATAGTTTCAAATGTAATTTCACTGAAGATAAGTATGAAAACGATAAAATTGTGGATAAAATTGTCAAATATTGGTAGCGAGTGCAAGGTTCGCACTCAATTAAAGAGAATGTAGCCAGTAAACTTTACCGAGTTTACTTCACGTGTCTAATATCAAAATTGTTGCCGATTTCTTTTAGTCCACTCTACTACCGCCTTACCCTTGGTAGATCGCCCATGTGTTGCAATTTCTTCTTGGAAATTAGAGCTTTCTACTCGAAACTTTGCGCCTATCTCAATTTACTTTGNTTTTTAAGGGAAACTGGCCCCTATTTAGGAGTTACAAATGTGGAAATAATCCGGAAAACTCCACGTGGTCAGCCCGTACGAGCGATGCTTGAACCCACGACTGAACTCTCAATGTTCAGGGTACGAACAACGCTTGGAAACTGGTGGGCCTCATTAAAAAAAGGGCCGCCGAGACGTAGAAAGAAACGTACCCTAATATACGAAAGTCTATGATTTGGCTACTGTATAGTTTCAAATGTAATTTGACTGAAAATAAGTTTCAAAATGGAAACTTCGGTATGTCAGTGGCCGAGTGGATAAAATTGTGAAAGATTAGTAGCGAGTGCAAGGTTCGCGCCCAATTAAAGATAGTGTAGACAGTAAAGTTGACCGAGTTTACTTCACGTGTCTAATATCAAAATTGTGGCCGATTTCTTTTAGTCCACTCTGCTGCCGCCTTTCTTCTCGTAGATCGCTCATGTGTTGAAATTTCTTTTTGGAAATTACATTCAAGAGCTTTCTATTCGAAACTTTGCGCCCATCACAATTTACAATTTACTTTGGTGCAAACAATCTTGACAAGCTGAAGAGTCAATTAAATAATTACAAAAGACTTTATAAAACATTAAAATGAATTTATTACAGAAAAATATATTTAATGTCTGTCAATAAAATGAATATGCATCGACTGAGTTTATGATCATGCGGATATATGCAATGTCGAATACAATAAAAATCCCGACATGTGATTCAAAATCGTATCTACAGTAATTATTTATTCACGTTTAGCAGAAAACTTTTATTACTCTTAACATATAAATTGGTTTTTATTAATAAAACAAACATTTAACTGTTTTATACACAAAGTAATAAATCGAAGAAAGTTTCAAAGAGTAAAATAACATTTCTGAATTTTGTGTCGTTACACAAGTACACTTATTAAAAATAAATTATTTAATTTTTAATAATATTCCACGAAAAAAGTATTTAGTAAACGACTTTACAGCAACTGTCTAAATGATAAATTGTTAAATTTGTTTTCATCCTGTAGGCATTAAAAGAACCTTTTCGGCATGCCCATTGTGGTTTCGCCACATACAATAGAACACGATATATCGAAATGAATCAACCCACAAAAAGACTGAATTCTTAAACCTGTTTTTAATTTCTAAAGTTTTAGAAAAAAAGATTCGGTGTGGAGCGAGACTATCCCGCAATAGTGTGACAACTAAAGTATTATTATAATTCTAAATAAACTAATTCATTTATTTCTAATATCTGTTTAAACAGATTTGATGAAATTAATGAATTGTATAAAAAATCAGGAAGTTCGTATTATTTAATTATTGCTCAAAACATCGTGAATTACATAAAACATTTGTAAAAATTGACCAATGAAAGAAGACAATATATTGTGGGATCGAAATAAATATGANGTGCGATTGGTTGGTTGCTTGTTCGTACGTTAGAGGATCCACCAATCACA